TGAGAGCTGAACAGAATGTCTCCATTTATGCCATCGGTGTGAAAAATGCATCCGTGCCCGAACTTGAATTAATATCTGGCAGCCCACAGAGAACGTTCTATGTCAAAAACTATGATTTTCTCAAAGACATCAAGAAAGACATCCTCACAGAAATATGTTCCTTTGAAGGTGAGAAATTGTGCGTTTATGCTTTTATGCATGATTGTTTTGTTGGATAGGGTGGTAAAATTATACAAATGGTTATTGTAAATAAATGTCAAATATAGAAATTAGATAAATGGCAGTATATGCAAATTACATATATGACATGGATATTCTTGGTTGGATTTCACATATCTATCATACTGTATATGAAACATATATTGCATTCGGTTTACACAGAATTCTGATTACATATATATATATATATATATATATATATATATATATAAATATATATATATATATATATATATATATATGAGTATATATATATATATATATATTTATATATATATATATATATATATATATTTATTTATATATATATATATATATATATATATATATATATATATATATATATATATATATATATATATATATATATATATATATATATATATATATATATATATATATATATATATATATATATATATAACTATTAATTAATTGAATTTACAGAAATGGTACTCTCGTGATATACAATTATCAGAATATGAGATTTTTGTAAATTCTTAGCTTTTATTTTAATATTGAACAGTTATTAAACATTGAAACAAAACAATCACTGAGTATATACCCAAGCAGACCAAATAAAATCTCTTACCTTCTGACTGCGCTGTCACAGTCAGGCAAACTTTGCTCCGAAGACTTTCTTTTAGCCCCTGCAGTTCCTGGTAATTGTTGATACTGAATAAGAACTCTTCATGTGGGATATTAGCAATGGCCCGCAGTTTTTCCATGTTTCCCTTTCCCACTCTGATGACGAAGAGGGAAACTCCTGTGTTTCGTAGTCTCTGGGCAGGCTCCTCAACATCATCTCTCGATTCCCCATCTGTGATGACTATGGCAATGCCAGGAACATTCGGTCTGGCCAGGCTAAAGTAATTTTCACGGATGAAAGTCAGCGCCTGACCCGTTTGGGTGCCTCCTTTGCGGTAGATGAGATTGTTCAACTTTTGGTGTAGATCTTTCTTATCTGCATAGTCACCGAGCAGGAACTCTTGGTACGGTCGGTCACTGAACTGGGCGAGTCCTAACCTCACCAGGTCAGGTCTGAGGTTAAATCTATCCACGAAAGCATGAAGGAACTTCTTCACTTCTTCAAAATCGTTGTCTCCAATGCTACCAGATGAGTCCACAAGAAGCACAATATCTGCCTGAGCAGTGTCAATGCACCCTGAAACAAGTGAAGGAGTTTTAATTAAAACGTCGACCATTTAATGTTTCTCTTAATTTGGGAATTTGTAAAAGTGAAGTGATGGAAACTCATAGGTATAGTTTAAAGAATGTTACAAAAATGACATTTCGGTCATCATTATGGATGGTTACCGAAACTCGGTACTTTATTGGGACTGGTGCATAATTATAAGACTGAAGTATCGATAAGCTCTGATGTTAACGGTTGCGCTATCAGTACTGGAGAATTATTGCTAAATAAATCTAAAGTAGAGCAATTTAATTGACCAACCTTTTCTAATTTGCGATTTTTGTTTTTTGTCTGCTCTATTGACAATCTCACGTAAGAAATGTTCGTCTTGTTCCGTCATACAACTCACTCGCACCAAACGCACACACAACACGAGACTCACGCGCACACAAAGCTCGTAAGTTTGAGCTTACTCACTCAGATCTTTAGGATCAAATAAACTAGAAATTCCAAATTCAGTCAAAGCAGAATGAATTGGCTTTCAGCCACTACGCTCCTCGCTGCTGGATTCAGCTTCCAGAAATGATCAGATGTGCTCCAACATTAGGCACAATTAAATCAAGACTGAAAACACATCTGTTTAACTTTGCCTTCACTGAATGAGCACTGTGCTACGTCCGACAGATCGCACTATTATGTCTTTCTTTTATTCTTTTATAACCTGTTTTAACCAGACTGATCTCACGAGAAAACGTAAGTATTTTACGTTTTGGCAGTATAGTGGCTAATTCAGTTCAGTCGTAAGAAATTATACGATTTTAAAAAGGAGGCATGGCACCTAACCCCACCCCTAAACCCAACCGTCATTGGGGGATGAGCAAATCATACTAAAATGTACGAATTAGATCGTACGAATTCGTACGAATTAGCCACTAAATGAAAAAGTTACGAATTGCCATGAGATTGTGTTGGTTTTAACACATTTGAATGTTTTTATCCGTTTTTAATCATTTTATTGTTTGTTTGTTTTTATTTTCTTATATTTGTCTTTTTTATTCTTGTTTATTTAAAGCACTTTGAATTGCCACTATGTATGAAATGTGCTATATGAATAAAAAAATAAAATAAACTTGCCTTGCCTTAATAGAGATATGATGGCGGAGAGAACCAAATGATCAAGAGAATAGTTGTATTCTCTGAGTGGACACTGACAGTGCTCGTTGCAACAAATACAATAAGTTGTAAAAGCGGAAACAAAAGCAAGCTGGCCAAGCATCTTTCAAAATTAACTGCAGACAGACAAATGCAAAGTTTTCTACTACCTAGCTACTAATAGTACACCCCTTACATCCTCAGGTGCATACAGTACAGTATGCTAGCAGTCAATTACATGAGGTCTCTCTAAGTTAGAATAATATGAATAGTTTAATTAGCGCACACATTCAGTTACATTGAAAACAGATTTTTTTTCAGCAGCCTAAAAATGCCTTTACCTCATATCATATATTTACAAATAGAAGAATAATAATAAACAATACTTATTAGGAAATTATAAAAAAAAAAAAAACTTATTTTTTTATTGCAAGAGGCTCCAAAACTGTATTACTTTTTTAATAATAAGCCCAGTAAACTCCTGTGAATGTGCTGATGATAAAACATAATCATTAGCTACAGCTGATTGTTTTAGTGCCTTTTGCAACTCAAAGAGGGTAATTTTAAATACAGGGAGCATAATAAGCCAAGAAAGGTCCCAATTTCTGCCAGAAAATGCAAACTTGTTGATTTTTTTTTCTCCAGAAAAATGGTTTAAAACTGATATCCATTTGCAGCCTACCTGTATGTTCCAACTGTGTTCCTTCAAAACCATCGTACATTCTTTTACAGCCAAATATTTACTATTTTCTTTTACAAAAATGTTTTTCATCCTATTTTACATTACGTAATACTAAAAGTGTTATTACTTCTGTTCAGTTTTTCCTCTTATCAGTACTTTGTGTAGTGTAATAATAAAAAACACAACACAAAGTACCGATAAGAGTACTATTAAAGTACAAAACCGATAAGTCATATCATTCAAAGTTGTAATGCCTTTTAAACCCTATCATCTGTGACGACAATGTGCAAAAGTTCAGGTACTGATTATGTGCTTTATTCAGTGTTAAATGCTACCAATGTGAGTTTTAACACTCTTTAACATGACATTTATTGCTATACTACAACAGCAGTTAGTTCACCTCAGATCTTAAAAATGTCTCGACCTGTCTATAATAGAGAATGTGTGGCACATTTTAAAGTGCAAAAAGACGACAAAGACCCCGTACTGTTGCCCACCTTAAGACTTGTTTGCTTCATCACTTGGTGTCTTCAGTCCCTAAATGTGTTGTGAAAAGTCGTGATGTCCCGATCAGGTTTTCGAAAAGGAAATGAATGAATGCATATATATTAGGGATGTTATAATATTGTAAATACCGTCAAACAGCAATAGTAATTTTTTTCAATAATACCATAGGCGCATGACTCAATAAAACTATATTTCTGAGAAAAGTTTGCTTAGGCGAATGAAGCGAACGGGAGGGAGCGGGAACTACAATTCCCATCAGCCTAGGCGTGGCCATCATCCTTTGCGGTCTGTTGTTACTATCCAGTAATGCGTAAATGGAGTGTGTTGCTAGTAGCAGGGAAGAAAAAACTGGAAATGATTGAACCTAAAGCGGGTTTTAAATTGGATGTGTGGAAGTATTTCGGTTTCTTTCTAAAAAGATACGAAAAAGGAGAAAAGGTGACAGACAAAAAAAAAAAAAAAAAAAAAAAAAAACGGTATGCAGGCACTGCCAGACTGTGGTGAAATATAAGTCGGGGAATACGACTAAAAACAGTCAGACATTGACTTGTACCACAAAGAGACCTCTATCTCACTCATGGCTTGTCCTCTCAAGTGGTGGAAAGACAACCACTTCAGTATTTTCAACAATACTAAATTGAAAATTTATTTTTTTTATATGGTTTAATAGTTTTTTGTTATTAAAATTGAAAAATTGAAGTTCCTGTTTCGAAACTTACAAATGGATGGCTAATTTGTATGTCATTGATATGTTCAGTGCTACGGTAAATAAACACTTTTGGCACTTTTTTCGAGTCTTTTCATTAGATTTGTTTTTCCTGTAAATTACTCAATAAATACCGTACCGTGCCTTTCATACCGAGGTATTATCGTACAGTGAAATTCTGATACCGTTACATCCCTAATATATATACATATATATTTGAGTCCTGATCGGGAGATAAAGTTCGATAGAGTTTTAAGCCATGTGATTTGGCCCGATTTCCGATCACGTGATCGGATCTGTACATCCCTATTGAAAAGCAATGGCAACATTACAAAGTGGTAAATGATTTACCGTTCCAGCTGTTTTTGAAATGTGTTGCAAGAACCAAAAGTGAATTGTGTCTATTTTAAAAAAATAAAAATCATAAATCACATGAAAAATTTTGTGCTGTTGTTTTGTCTGCAATGTAATACAAGTCAAAGAAAACTTGGAAATCACTACTTTTAATTTTTATTTTTATTTTTGCATTTTTCATAATGTCTCAACATTTTCTGATTTCGGGATTGTATTATTAATATTAATAAAAGTCTTTTTACATTATTAAAAAAAAAAAAAAACATTTTCTAACTAAGGTTAAACAATGTTTGAAGAAAGAACGAAGTCCATGATGTAATTCAAAAGCATAAATAAACTGAAAAATATTAATTACAAAATATGGAAAACTGTTAAATTATGTTTTTTTTTTCTTACAGTGTACCATGTGAGCTCAACTGACACTCTTCACTCTCATTAACTATTCCTTGTCAAATTCACAACTCATTTAAAGAATGTTACAATCTTCTCAATGTTTGCCACATGACTTACCCACATCTGAACACCACAAATTTCCAATAAACGTGGCACTATTTGTGTAAATGACTAGTATGTAAATTGTTACCTCGTGTTGTCTCGATGACATCCTTAACAGAAGTGCACAGCTCTCGGACTACACTCTGAGAGATTCCTTGCAGAGCTGCAAAGTCGGACACGCTGTAGACGTACTGATCATACGGCTCGTTCGCAATCTGCCTGAGCAATCTCACATCAGCGTCTTTGATCCCTATGGCAAATATTTTGATTCCCCTTTGCCTCAGCTCCTGCGCCTGTAAATCAACCTCATCTTGAGAATCTCCATCTGTGATAACAATGGCAATCTGAGGAACGTTCTGCTGCGCTCGACTTCCGGCCTCTTCAATAAAGTGCTGTTTCAGGATGAACTCCAAACCCTGGCCTGTATGCGTCCCGCCGGTTTTATAACGCAGATTTCGGATGTAGTCCAGAATTTCCTCTTTGTTCTGGTAAGTGTTGAGCGAGAACTCTGTACGTGGTGTGTCACTGTATTGGACCAAACCGATTCGGACTTTATCTGGAGCGACTTCAAAGTTCTCCACGAGTGAGGAGAGAAATTGGCGGATTTGTTGGAAATTGTCCAGGCCGATACTGGCAGAGCCGTCCACCAGGAATACAATGTCAGCCACCTGTTTACAAACTGAGAAAGAAAGAAAAATATTAACTTGTTCAAGAAAAAGCAAAGTTTACAGTATTTACCAAGAAAATGTTTTTCCTACCCTGTGTCTGGCCATTGCTGTCAAGAAAGCATAATGACAGAACAAGGATCCCAAGGAATCCCCACTCCTTCCCCATGCTTGAGTTCCTTGTTCTCTGGAATTAAAATAAAAAAGATAAGTGGCTAAAAGTGTATGCATTAGCAAAACATAACTCAAGAGTTCCCACTTAGATATGCTTAGCGTTTATAGCAGGTTTGGCATGCCTTGGAGAGAACCCTGAGCTCGGAGATGCTTGAGGCCAAGGCTCCCACAAAGTCAACAAGCATATAAGGCCGCATTCACACTGCGCTGTTCAAGTGACTCAATTTAGATTTTTTTCTCCCATGTGGCACAGATCGGACATGGCCTGTGTATGTAAGCAGGAAAAAAAAATCACATGGATTCCGATTTGCTCACAGCAGATTCAGGCCTTCATGTGTGGAAATTTATCCGATAGAGTCGGATCTGTGCCCACGTGTTTACAGTGTAAGCAAGTAGATCTGATTTTTACTTGTCAATGAGAGAGAGATAGAGAGAGAGAGAGAGAGAGAGAGAGAGAGAGAGAGAGAGAGAGAGAGAGAGAGAGTGAGAGAATAACATCTACCACATAACCATAAACTAATATAAAACAGTTGCATAAATCACGCCATGGACATTACATTAAGATACCTACTGGTTTAAAACGTGCAAGAATAAAAGTAGATGGCCAAATGAGAACTTTTCTGTCATATACTATAGTGAAACAACAACTTGTCAATAAATTAAAGACAGTAAACAGATTACATACAGGAATAGAGAAAAGAGCACTCTTTAATTATCAGCTGTTAGTCAGCGCCCGCTCTTTTTTTTCCTGGTCATCGCACCTTTGCCGTGTGCTGTGTAAATGCAGACGATCGGATACGAGTCACTTTTAAAAGATTATGTAAGCAGGTCAGTAAAAAAATCAGACACAGTCACAAAATCGGAATTGACCATCAAGATCTGCAGTGTAAATGCAGCCATGGTTAACTATTTATGTGATAAATACCCACCAACCCGATTTCAGCTTTGGCTGGTTAGACAGACACCTCCACAAGCCACGTTGGCTGGTTAAAAATAATTTTTAAATTGTGGTTTTCTTAAAAGCAGGGTTCGACTAAAAGAATGACCCAATATGCGTGCAAATGTGATCTTAGAATCGAGAAACACCACGACTTACAAAAAAATTGCATTCGCGCGAGCAGAAAAAAGTAGATGAATACAGAATGAGAGGATAAACAGTCGCGCTAACAGCTGATGTGATGCGCGCTCCTGTTTCCTTCCTTGAAGCAACCGTGCCTGGAACGCAACTGTGATCGGATTTCTTTCAAATAGTCCGGGCAGGCAAAAAAGTAATGCTAATGCACACACAGAAACAGTCTTGCTGCTTTCAAGAGCTCCAAATGTGGCTTTTTGTAAGCAGCACCGGTTGCTTTCGCTTTGAACAGATTATTAATTGGTCTTAACCGTCTGATCATTCTTCCATTGTCACACAGTATATGTTTTTCACCTGCTTTCTTTTGCTTATGGTTATTTTTGTTTATATGGTTTAATTATTATTTTTTACAACAAAATTGCTTTAATATGAGATTAACTCTCTATTTATGTGTAGTTAACTGATAATCTGAGAAACCTTTAGCCAGGACAGATTACTGTGCATATTTTTGATACATGACAATAATTATTTGTAAAAGTCAATTGTTTTTCTTTGTTTTTTTTTTAAAGAAATGTTTTGCTAAATAAAAAGTATAATATACATTTATATTTAGCTTGTTTTGACACATTTAAAATTTGTGGCTAAGAAATAATTTTTGTTTGGTGTGGTCAGAGATAAATTAGGTAAATCCTTAATTTTGAGCTCTGAAAAGTCATGTGAAATAGAAACTAATTGCAGTATAACACTCTGAAACCATGATCCATTTGCTCATACACGACACACAAAACACGAAATGAATGAGAAGGCATTAAACACAAAACACAAAATCTAAATCAAGTAATTTTAGCATGTCAAAGTAATATTTATACATATAAAAAATATTTTCCCAACAAATTGTGGCAATTAAAAATGCAGAGTGGCTAGTAACATTGCAAATCAACTAGCCCATGTGGCTGGTGATCAAAAAAAGATCATGTAAAGCCCTATATATATATATATATATATATATATATATATATATATATATATATATATATATATATATATATATATATATATATATATATATATATATATATATATATATATATATATATATATATATATATATATATATATATATATATATATATATATATATATATATATATATATATATATATATATATATATATATATATATATATATATATATATATATATATATATATATATATATATATATATATATATATATATATATATATATATATATATATATATATATATATATATATATATATATATATATATATATATATATATATATATATATATATATATATATATATATATATATATATATATATATATATATATATATATATATATATATATATATATATATATATATATATATATATATATATATATATATATATATATATATATATATATATATATATATATATATATATATATATATATATATATATATATATATATATATATATATATATATATATATATATATATATATATATATATATATATATATATATATATATATATATATATATATATATATATATATATATATA